TAGGCAGGCTTGTCTGTGTTGATCATGCTGAAAACAGTACCTGGCACATGGTAGGTGCTCAACAAATTGTTGTTAAAGACAGACAATCCACTGAACTCTCCAACCTTCCCTCCCAGCACACCTGCCCCCATAGCTCCACTCACACTCTGAAGTTCCAACCTCATGGGATACAACTTAAGTTTGTCCACCTCCATGCCTTTGGCACACAGAATCCCCTGGCTTCCTCCTCTTTACCCGTGAAAGTCCTTCCTAGCCCTCAAAGCCCAGGGCCAGCACCTCTTCCATGAAACCTTCTCAGACATCCTCTGGCTGGAATTTTTCTCTTAAACCTCTATGATCACTACTCTAAACATGTTTTCTATAGCACACCACAATTTCAGAGTGGCCTGGTATAATCTTTAGCTCCTGATCAGCTCTCACAGGTTATGGATTCAGTTTGCTTTCTGGAACTTTCTAACGCTGACAAAAGTGTATGTTCTGGAAACAGCTAGAATCACCTCTCAGATCATATAAATTGTATGCGTTAAGCTAATAAAAACCAGTTTCTACAGAAAACTGTAGTGTGTAGTGGTCACTGGAGTGAGGCAGATCTGTCTCAACCTGGCTCTGCCATTTACCAGCTGTGCAATCATCAGCACTTCACCTAATTTCTCTGGATCTCAGTTTCCTTGGCTAGAAAATGGGAAAAGGTTAAGAGTCAGAGTCTAGAGCAGGGGTGGGCAAACTTTTTGACTCGAGGGCCACAATGGGTTCTTAAACTGGACCGGAGAGCCGGAACAAAAGCATGGATGGAGTGTTTGTGTGAACTAATATAAATTCAAAGTAAACATCATTACATAAAAGGGTACGGTCTCTTTTTTTTTTTTTTAGTTTTATTCATTTCAAATGGGCCGGATCCGGCCTGCGGGCCGTAGTTTGCCCACAGCTGGTCTAGAGCCAGCTCTCTTCTGGCTCCCAGAGTCTCAAGTGCTCTGACTCTACTAGACCCTTCCCACGCCTGCTTGGACCCTGGGGCCTTACCGCCCTTATTACACGAATAACACTGTCCAGGGGGAGGGTCTGACTCCCTGAAAATGCTGGCACCTATGCATTCCCGGGCGGGAGTATGGGCCGGCTCACAAAGCTGCCAGGTAGTCAAGTGTGAGGGTCCAATCCCCACCCCAGCTGAGGGAGCCCAGCTTCCAATCCCAGATGAAGGACTATGGCTGGGTAGCTACAACTGCGGCCACTTAGGGAATTCATGATAGATTTTCCCACAGACTTTTAAAACCAAGTCTCATGAGCATGGAGCCAGGGAGGGCAGGGGAGAAATTGAGTTAACTTGGTAATGAGCTTCTCTCTCACTGTGCTTTGGAGATGCTCACCTAATCTTCTGACTCTGAATAAGCAACTTGGCTGCCTAATTAGGTTAACTAATAATTTCCCTTTTGACACTCAGGCTGCCTGATAATTTGGGGGTAACTGTGATTCTGTTTCATTGTTTCCTTTCTAAGTGAATTTCTCAATTTGCCTCCGGGATTAAAGTGCGGAGTAAATCCTCACTATTCCCCAGACCCACCATGCCTCTTCACGCCTCCAGGCGTTGGCTTGCGCAATCGCCTCTACTGGGAATGCCTCTTGGCTCCCTTATGCTCAGGGAAGTCCTACTTTGCCTTGGAGCCCAGGTGCATACCATGAGTGGAATGAAGGAATGAGCCTCTACACCCTCAGGGCAAAATTAATATTAATAGCTAGCATGAATTAAGAACCAGACCAGACACCTCACAAATGTAGTACAAGCTCACGGTAACCCTTCAAGTACGAAAGATGACATGCTGATCTTTTTGTTGTTGTTATTGTGGTAAAACATACATAACCCTTTTAACCATTTTTGTTGTTGTTGTTATTAATCCTCACTTGAGGATCTTTTTTCCATTGATTTTTAGAAAGTGTGGGAGTGGAGAGGGAGGGAGAGGGAGAGGGAGAGGGAGGGAGAGGGAGGGAGAGGGAGAGAGAGAGAGCGAGAGAGAGAGAGAGAGAGAGAGAGAGAGAGAAACATCAATTGGTTGCCTCCCGCATGTGCCCTCACCAGGACTAGGGATCAAACCTGCAACTCAGGCACATAGCCTTGACTGGGAATCAAACATGTGACCCTTAGGTACACGGGGCCAACACTAACCACTGAGAATACTTGCCAGGGCCTTTTAACCATTTTTTAAGTGAACAATTCAGTGGCATTAAGCACATTCACATGTGTAACCATCACCACTAGCTCATCTCCAGAATTTTTTCATTGTCCCAAACAGAAACCCTGCACCCATTGAACACTAACTCCCCATTCCTCCCTCTCCCAGCCCTTGGTAACCTCTGGCATGTTGTTTTAGGAAACTGTGACTCAAGGAGGTTTCAGAGCTGGGACACAGCATGGCCAGGATTTAAGGCCAGGTATCCTCACTAACTCTGGAATCACTGTTCTGTCCAGTCTGTGACACTGCCTGCTACCCCTCCCTTATAGATTGGGCCATAAGACTGTCATATCACCATCTCCCCCTATATTCATCTAGATCCTGCATTCTAGAATAATGTTTGGCACAATCAAGGAGCTCAGTATATAGACAAAATTACAGAATGACTCTACAACAGAGACACTGTGCCTACCTGACCCTGTGGGTGGAAATAGAGCTCACATTGCAACCTTTGCTTTCTAGAAAACATTTACTGAATGCCAACTGTGTGCCTGGCCTGGTGCCAGCTCCTCCTCACTGCCCCCCAGCCTGCTGGCTCCACTCAGCGGGAGAGGCTGAGGGGCGGCTCTGCCTGGCGGCCCTGAAGAGGAAGATTTGTGTTTACATTACCCAGTCAATTCTGTATTTATTTTGGATATTAAGCAGTGACATAAAAGCTGCTGACATTAACCTTCAAGGGCAGAAATTGGCTTTAATGGACCCCATAAAAGTTATTATTGATGGCAGCTGCATGCAGCATCACTGTGACCTCAGCAAAAGCCTCCACCGCTATCAATACTGTTGACAATTACTATTGACTAATGCAAGGCTGGAGAGGGTGGGGGCAGAGGCGGGTTCCTGTGGCTGGAAGTTGCTGGGGATTATGCTTTGCATTTGCATCTGGTAAGGAGCTCTGAGAACTTGGTCACACATGTTTGATTACCTCAGTTGAGAGTCCCACCCTCTTCCTCATTCCAATGGAGCTGGGCAAAGGGCTCAGACTAGAGGATCAGAGAAATCTGAGTTCAAATCCGAGGTTTGCCAACTTGATGACTCACTGGCTATGCAATCTTGGGCGGGTCAGGTGACCTTTTTGGAGTCTCAGTTCTCCCATCTGGGAGATGGAAATACCATAATGTTGTTATGAGGATTAGAGGCAATCAGTCACACATGTGCAGCAGCTTGACACACAGTAGGCCCTCTATATGTCTTCCCTCTACTCCTGAAAAGTGGCCACACTGTGATGTGTTGCTTTACATGTCCTATGGAATTGAGCCCTGCTCGATCATAAGATCTGAATTCTCATCACAGGGAAAGGGGAACTGTGGCCAGTAGGGAGAATATGAGAGAAAGAGAGGAGGAGGAGAGGAGGAAGACTGAAGGTTGGGGGGATAGGGAGAAAAGAGGAAGAGAAAGAACCAGGACAGGAGGAGAGCCTGGCTCCAGCTCAACTAGACAAGGCCCATATACCCTTCACCTCTGAGCCCATCTTCAGCTGTCAATTGAGGAGACACCCTGTGAGCAAGAGTACTGTCAACCTCATCAGTGGATAAAAGGGAGCCATTCCCATGGCTCATTTACTGTCAGTATGAGTCCCTGACAGCATTTAGACCCAAGTATCACAAAGTTGTTAATCTAACTTCCCAACTGGGAGAAAGTGGGCAAGTGCATGGGCGCCTGTGGGGTGTCTGGGTTTGGGGAGTCTAGGTCTGGAAGGGATACAGAGGCCGGGGCTGTTAGATTCTCATGCCCACCCCCTTTGCCTGCCCATCCTCCCTGAGTTCAGTGGGGCTTGGAGCGTGGTGGCCAGTGCAGAAATGGATAATCAGGAGAGGATGCAGGCCAGGCGAAGCAGGCAGCCATTTCCCTGACCCCATTATCAAAGGCCCAGGCTCTTCAGGCTCATTGACTATGCCATTATCACCCAACAGAGGCTTAATTCAGCAGTGATTCAGCTCTCAGGGAGTGTACAATAGTGTGGGTGGTGTGCACCTCACTCTGTCATGACTTTATGGAAAAGGGATCATTTGTCACCATAGCAAGAAGCCTTCAAAGCAATGAATAACCCAAGTATCTTGCTGCCCAGAAATTGGCGGGTCCCAAAGCACCAGAGAAAGGGAGGCTCCCGCCCCCGCTTCCCACTCCCCGCAGCAGCAAACTGCAGAGCAGGCCTAACTCAAGGTCCCTCAGGTATGATGGTAAGGAGGAGCATTCTGAACCCAGACTCCCTTTCCTGCACCAGAGAAAGGAGGCCTTGGAAGAAAGGGCTGAAGAAATGAGACTAAAATACGGAGTCTAGCCCAGCCACACTTCCCCAATCTTGCAGATATGGGAAAGCTAGAGCAAAACCTCAAGTTTTGAATTATCCCACCATGAGAGTGTTTGTTTGGAAGCCATCTCTGATCAACACAAGATGCTGGGGTGGGGCAGCGCCCATGGCGATGGCCCAGGACTGCTGAGCACCTGGAGGCTGGAGCCTACAGGAGCAGGGCTCAGGCAGGATCCTGGGCCCAGGCCTTAGCAGACAAGCTGTGGGGGATGGGTTAGCCATGTCCCTGGCCCCTCTGCTTCCCCATCTCTGAGGCACCTGCCTAATCAGGAAAGAAAGAGTGGAGATCCACTCTCTGTCATGGCACCGCTTGGTGGGTATTATACGTGTCTGTGCAAGAGGCTTTGACTTTTGACCACTAAGAGCAAAGCAATTGTCACCAACATCACTAGAGCCCCAAGCAATGGTGTAATTCAAACCCCGGTCCTGCAGCCCAGGTGCCTGGCTCAGGCCAGGTTGCCACTCACCGGTCTCGGTGTTCTCATGCTCCGTGTCGGTGAGCGTGAGGTTGGAGTTGGCCCGGCTGGACAGGCAGGAGCTGCGGCCCGACCGTGTGCTTCGGCCCCAAAGTCGCACGGGGTGCTCAGGGGACAGCACGGTGTCGGCCTCCATGTCGGCATCAGAGCTGGCGCCCATGGAGTAACCGCAGTGGGGGAGCCCGATGTCTGTGCGGTACAGGGTCCCATGAGGCGGTGTCACCTCGCCCAGCCCCAGCTCACGAAGGGAGAAGTTGGCTCCTGGGAGGAAACAGGTGAGCTTGGTTAGGAGGGGTCTTCCCATCAGAGCCTGGCCCCCAGCCCAGGGCTCCCTCTGGCCTTTGAGCTCACTGTGCCTTTTCTCTGACTGAATGGCTCCTTCTGCCCCTTCCCCACCAGCCCCAAACTTCTACACCCTTTGAGGAAGGCCCGCTCAGATGACACCTCCCCCGTGAAGTCTCCCCTAACCCTACACCCTGTGCAGAAGTCACTGCCCTTCCTCTGAGCTCCTCAGAGTCCACGGCCCCGGTCACAGAGTTAAGGGCCTGACCCCTCCACCGATGATGACCTCATGGCACAGGACCATGCCTTGCTCATTCCTAAAACCCTGTGCCTAGAACAAAATCTGGTGCTTACAGGGGCCAACAAAGGTCTGCCACACTGAATGGAGGGCCTTGGGTCTCCTCTTCCAGTCAGGATGGGGTGCAGTGCTTGCCAGCAAGGAGGATAAAGTCATGAAACAGTCCCATATTGCCTGGTAAATAGCTGATGCCTAAGCCTTCTCATGCCCAGTGCCCCAGCCTCTGCTCTGCCCACTCCAGTCTCTTCCCTACAAGGCCCCCACACCCAATGAGATCACCTCCCAGTCTCTCCATGATGCAGCTGCTAAAAGGTTAATGTCAGCGGGCTTGGCACAGCAGGGGCTTGGGCTGTTCAGTGCCAATAAGACATTCTGAGTGGCCAGGGTCTGGGCCAGACCAGATGTTAAATGTTTTGAATGTGCCATAGGCCAGTTTGCCTCCCACCCTCACTGCACACCACACTTCCTGTGTGCCCGGTTTGCTCCCTCTGATCTTTCTACAGCCCTGTCCTATGCATCTCCCAGCTTCACAGTCTCGCCCCCCTCTCCCTAGTATTCCTGCTCTGCTGGGCCAGCCCTCCCAAGGGACACCAGTCACACATTATGAAGAATGACTGCTACATTAAGTGAAATATCAAATTTATTTGCAATAAACAGCCTTGGCTGCATTGATTTCCATATGGCTTGCCCTGAATATCCTTTTAAGCAGCCAGACTCAGTGTCAATATGAGTGAGCTGAGACATCCCAGGACTGGAGAAATGCAGGGAGAGAGCTGACTCTAAGGGCTCGGCGATCCCTTTGAGCCAGCCTGGCCCCTCTGATGTGTGAGCTTAGATGATTTATTTCACCAAACATGAGATGTGCTCCTGTTTGCTTTAAGTCCCTTTGGCCTCTTTCCCGAGGAGCCCATCCCACCTTGCTCAACATCTAGCTGTGCAAGCTCAGGCTGGTGACATCACCTGGGCCTGTGTTCTTGTTTGTAAAATGGGGTGATAACCTATGACCTGCTACCGGGTAGAAACTACCCTCAGGATTTTTGAGGATCCAGAGAGGTAAGGGGAGAGAGGATACTTCATAAACTGCGATGCTCACAGCTGCCTATGAGATGAGAATGCTTCTTGTTTGTTATTTACAAAGACAAGAAGGGGCCTCTTCTGCAGCCTCGTGCACCAGGGTGGCATCTAGGCCACGCTGGACTGGCAGGGCTCCCTGAGCTCTATCAGCCATGGGCCGGGCAGAGCTGGAGAGGAGCTTGGGTACCACTTGGTCCCTTCCCCTCACTGAGACCCAGCAATGACAGCTAGTAGTAGGCAGCATTTGGGAAGCAGCTGATCTGTGCCAGGTACTGTGTCAAGGGCTTTATTTCCAGTCCTTGTTCATTCTGAGCAGCCTCCTAATAGGAGGCGTCACAGTTATCCCACTGCTCAGGGAAGGAGTTGAGGGTAGTAAGAGCAGCAGAGCCAGAATTCAAATCCAGGTTTTCTGATGCCTGAGTCTGAACTCTTGACCACAAGCTAGGAGAGAGAGCAGACCCCTCATCTTTCAAACCTGAGAGGCAGCCTTGCCAACAAGTCAGCCTTCCTGTGGATCCAGGCCTGTGGGGGAGGCCACATGCTGTGTGTATGCGTGTGTGTGTGTGTGTGTGTGTGTGTGTGTGCACCCATGTCCAGCTCTTCTTACCTCTGTGATCTTGGGCAAATGAACCAACTTGGTGTTGTTGTAAGGATTAAATAACAAAGGCAAGATGTATATAAATTACACAGCACCATGCCTGGCTAACCCTATCTGTAGAAGGCACGTGGGCAGGGTAGAACCAGGGAGGGCTGCAGGACCATTCAGGGATTGGCAGGAATCACAGAGGCTCCAGGTTGGCAAACATATCATGGCAGCTGTGGACATAGTGAACAGTCCAGTGGGTCCAGAGCATGGGTGGTGAGGTGGAGAGGCAGGGGATAAAATAGTCCAAAAGACAAATGAATGTGGAAAAAGCCCTACTAAGCCAGGTTAAGGAGCTCAGGCAAAGGGCCATGGGGAGTCATTTCCAACTTCACCCCAGCTGTAGTGCAGAGAATAGACCACAGGGGGCAGCACCGGGTGAAGGGGGCTGTGCTGATCCTCTCAGAGAGAAGACAGTGGCCTGAACTGGACCAGTGGCGGAGGGGATGGAGAAGAGCGAGGGATTTGGAGTAGGATGGACAGGTTTAGTGACCACTGTGTGTAGGAAATGAAAGAGTGGGAATCAGGTGCCAGGATAGTCCCCAAATTAGGAAGTTTTTAGGTCCATCTCAGAAACAGCTTCCTCTCGAGGTGAGGGCAGTACTTGATACCAAAAGGTGCTAAGATATGTTTGTTGAAATATATAAACAGATAACAAAACTAACGGCCAAGACTTACTCAGCACTTCCTTGGTGTTATCACGCTTACCATTTAAACACGTCATCTCAATGGTCCTCATAACAATTCGGCCCAATAGAGAGGCCACTCCTGCCCATCTGACAGCTGAGCAGTGAGGCTTGGAGGAGAGCCCAGGGCTCTGAACTCAGCCCCAAGAATGGACCCCGCTCCTAACCACCTCTTTATGCCAGGAAGTGGTGAGCATGAAAATCAATGAACTGAGAATGAACCGCAGGGCAGGCTTTGACTAGATCCCAGTGCCAAAATAGCAGATTTGGTGTTGACTCAGCACTCACTGGCCCTGCTGCTCCACTGCGCCCACGCCCAGGGCCACACCTGCGTGCACACCTGCCCCAGGCTCTGTTCCAGGCTCTGCCCCAGGCTCTGGCCCTGGCCCTCCCTCACCTGTGCGGCAGAACTCCTCAGCCTCTTGCGGCACCATGTCCTTGATGCGGCTGCCGTAAGCAAGGCGGGCGTCCTGGTCATAGGCCTTCAGGGTCTCGCTGGAGCTGTAGGACTTCTGTGGGGCCTTGCCCTCCTCGCTGTCTGCAGATGAGCTGGTGTAGCGGCGCTCGGTGTCCCGGCGCCGGGTCAGCGAGCGGTATGGCTTCCTCTCCTTCACGTCCATGGCCTCTGGCCCACACTCCTCCACATCCACGAACAGGGTCCTTGCCTCACTCAGGGCTGAGCGGTCTGGAGCCAGGAAAGCAAAGAAAAGGGCGTGAGCTTGGGCCCCAGGAAGCAAAGACCACAGCCAGGTCCATCTGGGCCTCAGACCTTGATTCACCCTGCAGTGCTGCGGGGACTGGCCTCTGGCTCCGAGGCGTGAGAGCACCCCTCCAAGACCACAGGGGGCCTTGCACTCAGAGCCTCTAAAAATGAATCCTGTCTCTGCTCCTCCGCCTTCCACCTCGAAGATGCCCCAACCTGCCCCTCAAGTGATCCCTGCCAGGAAAGCTAAGGAAGGCCAGAGGGCTCTGGTTTTCCTAATCCCCCGGGACAGGAACACGGGCTTGTTCCCATCACGTGCCCAGCTGCCACAGGGCCTGACCCAGAAGAGCGGCTCCTTAAGAATTCGTAGAATGAATGACTCTACTCAGACACTGCGGTAAGCACTTTGCATAGATGATCACATTTAACCCAATGAGCCAAGGTATCAACAACCAATCTACACCGTCACCACCAGATAACTAATTACTTGCTTATTGTTTGTTTTCTTCCACTAATACGCAAGCTCCTTGCAAGCCTGGGCTTTACCTGTTTTGCTAACTCCTGAGCTCTAGCAGCGCCAGCGAATCCTGGCACACCTGATTCACATTGGTTTCATTAACTGGCCAACCAATCCCCGTCTGACTGCTGAGAAAATGGAGGTTCAGAACCAACTTCAAGGTCACGGGGTGGTAACAAAGGCAGACCCTGAACCCAGGTCGGCTTGGCTCTAAAACCTGAGCTTTTCCTATTCCTTCCTCCCACTCTTGCTACACAACAGTGTCCTTCCAGCTGGGCTAGCTCTGAGGGCCATGCAGACAGAGAGAGGACTCCCTCACCTGCAGACTCGCCGTCTCATCAGTGGCACAATTCGCACCTGGGGGAGCTATGGTGCCTGCCCCATACATCTGGGTGTTGCCAGGGTGTCTGATGGGTGGGAGGGAGAGAGGAAAGGTGCTGTTTTGTCCCCTGCCTTTCTCCTCTTTCCTCCATCTTGACCTTTTTTACCCTAGACTGACACCCCAGGATTTTTTAAAGCTGTCATAACACCCTCTTTCTCTTTCCAAATGTGTTCCTTTGGCTCTGGGGGCAGCAAACATAGCCCTTACAAGAGCCAGGGGTCAGCACAGAAGGAAAGCAGAATGTCCTGCATAATGTGTGATGAGAGCTCTTCCGTTCTTGACACACAGCCTCTCAGTTCTTTTATTCATTGTCCCACTGTCCAGAGAAACATGGGTACACACACATTCTGCTTGGTGGCTGTTGTACGGAGAAGCCACAGAGTGAGAGTGTGGTCTATGGGGCCACCTGGGGTCTCCCTGTGGGGGCCAGGTCTCTGACAGACAGGGAGGGGGCCTGTCCACAAGGGCAGTGCCACCCAGTGCCTGCCAATGCTGCCACGTTGGAGTGCAGAGTGTCTTGTGAGTTTTTAAGACAAGCTGGGAAATTGGACTTATTATTTTTAATTTCAAAATACTCTACAGGCCAAACAAAACACAAGGACGAGTCATTTTGGTCAGGGAACTAGTGGTTTCCAAGTTCTGCCTTTAATCGTGGACATCTGAGACATCCCTTTGGCCTGAAGATGCTCTCTTCCCTCCTAGGACTCCAAAGGCCCTCTCCTTAATGGTAACATTAGAATCCCCACTTTAATCCTGTGACGCAGGCACTATGATCATCTGCAATTTTCAGATGAAAGATTGCGAGGTGAAGGACCTGCCCATGGTTGCACAGTTCCTGAGTGGTGGAGCCACAGTTCTGACCAAGGCGGTTGAACTTGCCACGTAACTGCTAGAAAGCATTGCCTTTTCATGCTGTGCCAGATGCATTTCCTAAGCCAAGATCAGGCCAGAGCCCTCCTTCTGCCCCCCTAGCAGCCCTGCAGAGACTTTAGGGTGAATTCCAGTTCTCAGTCCAAATGCTCTTGTGTCTGGCACATCTCACTTCCACTCACTGAGCCACTTTCTAGACATGAATTCTGTGATCTCTGCACCTCTGTGCATGTGGTTTCATCATAGACTATCTACCTAACTAGATGCCTGCCTCTTCCCCAGACAACAGTTCCTGGAGGGCAGGCCTGGCATCCATGAACTCCTGAAATGCCAGCTGAGTAAATAAATGAATAAACTTCATTTCTTCTTACCAATCTTAAGTAATATAAAATATTGGTGGTTCAACTTAGATAAATATGTATTAAATACATCGAAGATGGAATTAAAATTAAATGCATTGCTCAGATGCATTCTTTTAAAAGGCAGCCTGCATTTGAAGTACAGTGGGGCCTTGACTTACGAGTGCCCCGACTAATGAGTTTTTTGAGATACCAGCTGTCTCTAGGCCGATTTTTTGCATTGAGTTGATAGAGTAATTTGAGTTAATGAGCTCCTTAACGAGTCCTTAACGAGCTCAGTCTCAGAACGAATTAAGTCAAGGCCCCACTGTATATGCCTCCACCGAGCAGCTGTGTGACCTAGGACAAGTTACTGAACCACTCTGTGCTTCAGCGTCCTCATCCGTAAAATAGCACCTCTTGGGGTTGTTCGGAGGATTAAATGAATTAATGCACATCCCTGCAACATATGGCCCCTGATACATAATGGGTGCTGAATAGATGTTAGCCGCATTATCATCAGGAGAACCCCACATTTTACTTTTAAAAGGTGCACTTTATAAGTCTCCAGCTCAGTGTCAGTTATAACTGGAGAAGGAACACCCCCCGGAAACGTGTTCATAGGCTGAGACACATTCCGGCTGTTAACTTGGTGGGTGACTGTCTTATCAGCGTGTGCCTGTTGACCAAAGACACTGGCTTCAAGGCAAAGACTAAGTAACTACAAACGATGATGAAGAATGCAGCCCAGGCACTCATGGCTTCCCTGCCACAAAGCAGAAGCGCGGAGGACAATTGCCATGCTCCTGTTTCCTTTGATTCCCCTCATTTTATTTTTTTAAATTTTATTTTATTGTTTAAAGTATTACAAATAGTAGTACATATGTCTCCTTTTTTTCCCCCCCATTGATCTTCCCCTGGCCTCCCCTACCCGCCCCAGCACATGCCCTTAGCTCCCCCCACCCTCAGTGTCTTGTGTCCATTGGTTATGCTTATATGCATGCATATAAGTCCTTCGGTTGATCTCTTACCTCCCCCGCAATACTCCCAGCCTTCCCATTGTACTTTGACAGTCTGTTTGATGCTTCTCTGCCTCTGTATCTATCTTTTTGTTCATCAGGTTATATATTCCTTATTATCCATAAATGAGTGAGTTCATGTGGTATTTTTATTTCACTGCCTGGCTTACTTCACTTAACATAATGCTCTCCAGTTCCATCCATGCTGCTGCAAATGGCAAGAATTCCTTCTTTTTTATAGCAGCATAGTATTCCATTGTGTAGATGTACCACAGTTTTCTAATCCACTCATCTGTTGATGGGCATTTAGGCTGTTTCCAAATTTTAGATATTATAAATTGTGCTGCTATGAACATAGGGGTGCATATATCCTTTCTAATTGGTGTTTCTGTTTTCTTGTGATTTCCCCCCGCCCCCCATTTTAGCCGTAATAAAGTAATTCAGTAAATACTTATGTGTTTTGAACAGGTGGGAGGTTGGTCATGGTCTACATTCAGCTTGACCTTTATTAGCGAGAGAAAGAAGGGGCCATGCCCTGGCTGTTTGCTCAGTGGTTAGAGTGATGGCCCCTAGACCGAAGGGTGTCAGGTTTGATTCATCTCAATTGTAGGCTCTATCTCTGGCCCTAGTTGGGGAGTGTTCGGGAGGCAACCAATTGATGTGTCTCTCTCACACGGTGTTTCTTTCTCTCTGTTCCTCCTCTGCCCTTCAACTCTCTCTAAAAATCAATGGGGAAAAACCTCAGGTGAGGATTAAAAATAAAAGAAGGGAATGGGTCGGGATGTAAGACGTGACAGTGGAGAAGAGCTCCCAGAGCAAAGGGCCTGCAGTGCAGTGATGCTGAGGCCCTGGCAGGAGGGTCTGTGTGCTGGAAAGGGTGCCCAGCTCAGATCCTGGGGACCCAATTCATGGGCTGGGGGCAGAAGCACCGGTACACGTGTGTTTAAACATGTCAGACACTCCTTACTGGCTGACCAAGTGGTTCCCACTGCGCCTAAACCCATTACCCGACCCTTTTTAACTCTCCCTCTGCTTCCTCTCACTCCCACAGAATAACCTGCCACTCTAACTGGCCTCTCTCCCAGATCCACTCTCCGTTTCTCTCCCACCAGCTGCCTGCCATGTCTCAGACATTCTCAACTGAGCCCTGCCTGTGATGTTCACTGGGTTCACCCAAGGGAGGCTCCTGCAGGAGGTGGGGCAGGAGGGGGAGGAGCGAGGAGAGAGCGCTGCTTTGTCCACTCCCTCTCCCACCAGTTGGCCCCTCTTCCAGGCCTCCAGCTCTCCCTGGCTCTGCAAACATCCTTCCCTGCCCTCACCTGTCCAGGCCCAGGGGTGCCCTAGTTTTCTGCTGCATGGAGACCCTGGGTGTCTCACCATTCTGGTTGGCTGCCTTCATCTGCCCACACCTGTGTCTCTTTGTTAACGTCTGTTCATTGGAACCATCTGGGGTGAATTCTGTTTCCTGGGGGATCCTGACCTGTGATGCAGCTCCGCCTCTTGCTCTCTGCTTCACTGTCAGTAATTATGATGATGATCATCATCATTGTCATCAAACTAATGACACCAACAGCGATCACTTACTCAGAGCTTACCACAGGGTAGGCCCTGGGCACAGTGCTCTGGATAGATGATCTCATTTAGTTGTCAACACTCCTAGTCTGTGTATTGGTACCATTTTAGTGATGAAGAACCTAAATCTTAGAAAAGTTAAATAACTGGTTTAAAACCATGCAGGCAGAACTGAATCAAGAGTTGGATCCACCCATTGCCAAATCTCCCCTCTCACAGCCCTCTGCCATGCACAATGCGTTCCAGGTGAGGAGTTGGTTGGCTCCAGCCATGTTCTGGCTGTG